TAGCCTGGGAATACAGATCACCCCTTCATAACAAATGAGGAATATTTTTCATTTCTCCCCACTAGGCGTAAAACCAATTAAAGGCAGATACCTGTTTGTGTTTGTTTTTGTTTGGGGGTCACACCTGACAGTGCTCAGAGATTACTCCTGGCTCTGTGCTCAGGAATCACTCCTTGAAGAATTCTGAAGACCATTTGGGTAAAAAGGATCAAACCCAGATGGGTCATGTGCAAGAAAAATGCCCTATCCACTGTATTATCTCTCTGGCATTAAAGGCAGATTCACAAGAAAATGCATGATAAAATCTGAAAACAACCAAGATGTCTGCTATTAGGGGTTTTAGTGAATAAATTATGATAAATCTCCACAATGCATCTATAAAAAAAAAAAAAGGACCATAGCACTGTAGTACTGTCCTCCTGTTGTTCATCAATTTGCTTGAGCAGGCATCAGTAACATCTCCATTGTAAGACTTGTTACTGTTTTTGGCATACTAAATACACCACGTGTAGCTTGCCAGACTTTGCCGTGCGGACAGGATGCTCTTGGTAGTGTGCTGGGCTCTCCGAGAGGGGAGGAGGAATCGAACCCGGGTTGGTCGCATGCAAGGCAAATGCCCTACAGGTGATGCTATCACTCTGGCCCCATTAAAAAAAAAGAATAAGATATTTCTCTGTACAACTATAGAGTAAGTAAGCTTCAGACTATACCATGAGGTTAAAAAGAAAATAGTTGGAGAAAAGTGTGTACCATGGGCTAACATGTATTTACAAACACGTTTTTTTAATACATGTTATGTTATAATACATGAATAAATTTTAAAAGTAAGTAAAAGTAAAGGCCCTCCGGTTGATCATCGATTTGCTCGAGCGGGCCCAGTAACGTCTCCATTGGAGACTTTGTTGTTACTGTGTTTGGCATATCAAATACGTCACAGGGAGCTTGCCAGGCTCTGCCATGCGGGCAAGATACTCTCGGTAGCTTGCCAGGCTCTCCGAGAGGGGCGGAGGAATCGAACTCGGGTCGGCCATGTTGGCCGCTTGTAAGGCGAACGCCCTACCGCTGTGCTATTTACCTGAAAGAGGAAAAATTAGGGTAAAGGCTCAAAGATAGAAAATAAATTTTTTATATATCTTGGTTTCAGATTTGATTTTAGACCATGTAAATTGTTTTCATGCTCACCAAAAAAATAAAAGATTTTAAAAAATCCCTGAAAACTGAAAATGAAATGAAACAAATGAACACAGCCAAGTATACAGTTGGTGGCTTAACCATAAGGAGAATAACTATCCTAAGAAATCTAAAACACTATCACTGCATTGTTACATTCCTTTTGGGATATATTCCAAAAACACAAACAACTGAAGAAAAAGAAAAACAAGTTTACAGTGCTTTCTAAGAATCATATGTTGGTGGCAGCATTGGTATTATTATTCTGAGAATGTTGGGCATCAATTGAGACTAAAACAAATACATTATTATGTGATATTTCGATTACTGTATCTGCCATTTCCTGAGAACCACTATTCTCAGCATGGAAAATGCAGATGTACATCTGGTCTCTGCAAATCTTTAAGCAAAGACCAGCTCAGAGAAAAGGATACTCTCGTATTCTGAACATAACCACAATGACATAGCTCTATTCCAGAGAGAGATAACCATTTATAGAAACAAGTAAATCTATGATGTAGAAAAAGAACATCATAGAAAACTTTATGATCATGTCATATGAGTTTAAATCTACATATTAAGGTACAACTTTTACAAAATTTTACAAAAAATTTTTAATAATAAAAAATTCTGTGCCAGAGGTTAAAGCATTGAACACTTCTGATCCTGGTTTCAACCCAGCACTGCATATGGTCCCATGATCACACCTGCCCCCTAAGCACAGATCCAGAAGTAAGCCATAAGCACCACCAAATGTGGTCAAAAACCAAAAATAAATGAACAGATGGTAAATAAATTAAAAATATGAATTGGTCATAAGTAACAGATACTACAGAGCCAAAATATTCTAACAATGGTAAGTAAAAGGGAGAGATAATAATTTAGGAAGGTTTTTCTTCAAAGCACTGCACTATAGCACTGTCCTCCCATTGTTCATCAATTTGTTCAAGCAAGCCCAGTAACGTCTCATTGTGAGACTTGTTGTTACTGTGTTTGGCATACTGAATACATCACGGGTAGCTTGCCAGGCATCGCTGTGAGAGCGAGATACTCTCGGTAGCTTGCCGGGCTCTCTGAGAGGGGTGGAGGAATCGAACCTTGCTTGGCCAGGCTGGCTGTGCGCAAGGCAAATGCCCTACCCACTGTGCTATCGCTCCAGTCTATAAATTCAAAAATAGAAAATAAAACATTTGAACAATATCATTCTGTAACTATTAATCAATGGAGGAATCCAAGCACTCAACAGCAGCAGCAACCCACAAAACGAAAGACAATAAGGGGACTGCAGAGTAACAGACTGGGTTTGCTTTCATGCATCTGACACACAACTAGGAGTGACCCTTGAATGGAGAACCAGGAGAAAGGTGGTCACTGGAGCACTTCCTGGTATGGCCAAACCTCCTCTCAAACAAGAAAAGAGAAAAAGTCAACCAGGAATCCAGTCATTGTGCGCCTGCTGAAATAGTCACAAAGAACGTAATCTTGACAATAAATCTAAATCTGATAGATCAAGAGTGTATTTACAAGAAATAAACAAAAACACACAGTGGTAGAATAAGTCAGAGGGGAAATGTTACACAACTTAATAACCAGGTAACTTCAACAAATACATTTCAAGGAAGGAGGGGGAGAAGAAAACAAGGATAGGTAAGAAGAACGAAGAAGAAAGGATGGGGAGGGTCAAGAAGGACGGAGAAGAAGAATGGACTGAAGGAGAACAGGAAGAGAGAAAGACAGAATGAGGTAAATTGGGGAGAGCAAGAAAAGAGGTAGGGAAGAGAGAAAGAGAGTCTTAAAAACTTACAACCAACCAAGTTGCTTTAGCTTTGTTTTGATCCTGACTTTAACAAAACATTTTTTAAAGGCATGAAATTTGTGATGCAATTGGAAAACTTGATGGTATTGATGGGATTTTTACAATTAATACTTGTTAATATTTTAGGGGTAGTACTGACAATATAAACATGAGCTTTTAGCTTCTACTTCTAGAAATACGTTCTGAAGAGCTAACAAAAGATAATTCCAAAATTACATAGAAAAGAACATTGGGTGGGGCATGGAAAACTCTGGACTAGCTCTGAGTTGGTGAATACTGCAACTGGTCAAAATAACGTCTTGTTTAGGTTTCCATCATACCATTCCATTATTTTAACTTATTCCATTATTCCATTATTTTAACTTATGACTATATAAAATTTCACAAATAAACATATTTTTTAAATCTAAGAAGCAATTAGATAGCCCAGTGCCCTGAATTTGGTTTTAAAATATAATTTAATGAAAGAAACCAGGGATTCTGGAAGTAATCATTTCTGAGTATAGAATTTATCCCGTCTGAGTATAGAAAAGTACAAAGTAAGCCCTAGACACTTGTAATAGCAAAGAAGTGAAAGATGAAAAGGCATGAGACAATAAGAAGGGAACCAGCTTGAAGGGTTTCCATTGTTCACATGTGGGTGCTAGTTTAATATCTAAAAAATGATTATCATTTAGAAAATGTTGTATGAATAAAGGAACACACCACATCCCATAGTAATATTAAAAAAGAGGGTGGGGGCTATTTTATAGGAGATTGTCAATGTGAAAGGAATAATGGAATTAGACGCCTGTTTTAATTATATTTTAGGCAAGGATTACAAATGCATGGTAAAATCATCTAGATATTGATGAACAAAATTCATTCAGTTACTCTACTAGAGCACAAGTTTGAACTTAATTGCACAGATATGACCATCAATAATACCACTTCTGGGAATATACACGGGGGTGTAAGAACAGAGCAGAAATACCATCAACACTTCTATGTTCATTGAAGCATTATTCACAATAGCCAGAATCTAGAAACAACCTCACTGCCCAAGAACAGACAACTGGTTAAAGAAACTATGGTACATCTACACAGTGGAGTACTATGAAGCTGTTAGGAAAAATGAATTAATGGAATTCACTTATACATGGATGGACATGAAGAGTATCATACTGAGTGAAATGAGTCAAAAGAAGAAGTACAGCCATATAATTATTACACCCAGTTGTGGAATATAAAAAAACACACAGTATGAGACTAATACCCTAGGACAGTAGAAACAAGGGCCAAGAGAGTTGGTCTACAGTTAGAAGCCTGCCTCAAGTGATGGGGGAGAAGGCAGTTGGGATAGAGAAGGAACAACTATGACAATGATAGTTGGAAATGATCACTCTGTATAAGAACTGTGTGCTGAAATTAGGCAAAGAAACAAACATGATAACCTCTCAATACCTGTATAGCAAACCTTAATTCACAAAAGGAGAGAGAGAGAGAGAGAGAGAGAGAAAGAGAGAGAGAGACAGACAGACAGACAGACAGACAGACAGACAGACACAGAAGTCCTGAGGCAGGCTGGAGGCAGGCTGGAGTGACTGAGGCAGGCTGGAGGGAGGAGGGTGGTGGCGGGAGAATCACTGAGGACACTGGTGTTGGGAAATGTACTCGATACCATCAACACTTCTAAAACTCTACCATCAAAACTCTAATTTTTAAAATATTATCTTATATTCAAAGTTTTATATATAAATATTGCTTTGGTTTTCAATTTATTAAATATTCTGCCTTATATTTTGTATATCCTTATTAAAATCAAAAAGTATATCTGATAATACAACATACATACAGATTCATTACAGAAAAGTGAGTTTGTAAATTAACTATTATGTGAAAGTGATATAAAGGCTGTATGGTTGTTTTCTGTATTAGTCCTTCCCTTTCCCTATGGATTTGAACTTTTCAAAATACAAAACTAATGAAAAAACTCCATTCACAGTCAGTAACAACTGATCAGTGTTCTACGTACAGGTATTTGGGCATTGTTGCCATTGTTCTTCTGGATCTTATCCTTGGAATTTTCTTTCTGAGTGGCCGCTTGCTCCGCAAATGACACATTGAGGTTGATATCTGCTTCAGGGACAACAGTTTCTTCAGACACTGGTGGGATCGGCTCCTTTTTACCCAAAGCTAGGCTAGATTCCTGGTCTGGGGAGAAAAAAAAAACAGAAGTAATATTTCATACACTTTATTTCTGTTTTCACTTTAATGGGTCAATTAGATGAATGTATGAAAAGTTCTGTATGTTACAGGCAATGATGAATGGTGATTTTAATAGTAGTGTACACTCAAGGAACCCAGCGAATAGTGTAGAGTCAGTAGCAGAAGGAAGAGAAGAGAGTAGAAATCCACAGTTCAATTGTGATATTTTTCTTTGAGATCATATTTTTTAGATGAGAACTGATTCCAAAGCATTACCAGATGACGATGACCTCAAACTTTGAGAAACCCTCACAATAATAATTACACTTAACTGTGAACTTATTTCACCCTGAGGATTAAAAATGAAAAATAGAGGGGAATCAGTTTTAATATCTCGTAGAACTAGCTAGCTCTGTATCACATAATCTCCTCACAGAAGGACAAACCCTAAACTAAACGTTTCCACACCCCTGCATTTCCTTTCTGGAATGTTACCTAGTGCCATATTAAAACTTCCGAAACAAGGACCTATGCCAAAAAGTTATCAGCTTGAAGTCTGATCTGGAGGTACCTAGCACGGGAACCTAAAGGTGTGGTACCTGATTATATCAAAGACTATAAAAGTTCCAACAACTATCACCCTGGATAAATAACTGATATCTTTGATATCTTTACCCATTCCACGCCACATTTCTAGAGTCTCATAGATTTAACTTTTGTTGTGGTTTTTACTACTCCAGGTAAAAATAACATTTGAAAGTCTCTTTGGTGAAAACAATGGCATTAAACCTCAAAGAAAACATTTCTAAAGTTGACCGTTTGCTGCAGTATTGATTTTAACCAAATTCACATTAATTTGAAACGGCCTAGCGCCAATGACAGGAACACTTGTTTGCTCACTGCACACATTTAATTCACCAGCCACTCTAAATTGCAAAATAAACTACAAAAGACATTGACATATTTCTAGATTGAAAAAGTGATAGGAGGAAAAGTCAATTAAAATTTTAATGAATATATGTTATATATATTCATAGGTCGTGTGCCCATTTGATAGGCTCTGCACGGGGCGTGCCCAAGAATACGCCCACCCCAGGCTGGGCTGCTGTGAATGCCCATCATGGCCCTTCCCGTGACCCTTCTCTAGGCGCTGGCTTTCAGGGAAAGCAGTTTCCTCGGGATGCCTGAGAGCTCCAGGGTCCTGGTGGGAAAGAGTGCAAATATTGGGATTTTTGACTCCTGCCTTGTGACTCGCTGTCAGAGCACGGGTTGGTGATTTGCACTCTGCTCCGGTCAGAGCACGGATTGGTGATTTGCACTCTGCTCCTCATTTTGTACGGTTATTTATGGACTTCACGGGGAGGAAATAGCTTACGGTGAAAGCAGCCCACGCGTGACATTTTTAGAAAGAGCGAGGTGCTCGAGGGTCCAGCCATCTCAGGCAGTTGTGGCCTTGGACGCTGCCCAAGAAGGAAGACAGTGGGTTATTTAGGTCCTGTCCAAGACTGCGCAGGTTTCTCTGGATTCAGCCCCTCCACTCCAGGCTCACCCTCTCACCCTTGCTGAGTGTCAGACCTCGAGGAGAAGGGCGTTGGAGGGGAGGAAGTGCTCAGTTGTTACAGCATGCTTGACCTAGGAACACTTACTCAAGACCTGGTCCTGGCTCTGTGCTCAGGGATCACTTCTGGTGAGGTTTGGGAGGCCCTGTACACTGCTGGGGAGTGAGCCCAGGTTGGCCCTTTGCCAGAGGTACCTGGCTGCCTGCACTATCTCTCCAGCCCCAGACTGTGTCTTTTTTTTTTTCTTTTTGGGTCATACCCGGTGATGCTCAGGGGTTGCTCCTGGCTCTGCACTCAGATGGTGCATGGGGGACCGTATACAATGCCAGGGATTGAACCCAGGTTGGTCTCGTGCAAGGCAAATGCCCTCCCCGCTGGACTATCGCTCTGGTCCCCAAACTGAGTTTTTAAAGAGAGAACAGCGCTTCCAGGCAGCATACTGAGATTGGGTTATGGGCCCAGCTTCAGTAACATTTTGGCGACAATGTGAAAATTCCTAGGTTTGAGAAGAGAGTTCCTCATCATTTTGCAATGTTGGAAAAATCCACAGGAAATATTTTATTCATGATTTGACTCTTAACTATACAGAACTGAGTTTTCTGAAAATATCAACAAGGCCACCTGGTAGAAATAAAAACGTGAGCCATGGGGTTGGAGGGATAGCACAGCAGGGAGGGTGCTTGCCTTGCACGTAACTGACCCAAGTTCGTTCCTCAGCATCTCTTATGGTCCACGAGCACCACCAGGAGTTATTCCTGAGTGCAGAGTTAGGAGTAATCCCTGAGCATTGCTGGGCATGGTACCAAAAATTGAAAAAGAAAAAAGCATGAACCATTTAATCTAAATACATATTTTTTCTCATACCCACATTAAAGCGATAGTACAGCAGGTAGGGTGTTTACCTTACACGCGGCCAACCCGGCTTGGATTCCTCTGTCCCTCTCAGAGAGCCCGGCAAGCTACCAAGAGTATCCCGCCCCCACGGCAGAGCCTGGCAAGCTTACCATGGTGTATTCGATACACCAAAAATAGTAACAACAAGTCTCACAACAGGTACTGGTGCCCGCTCTAGCAAATCGATGAGCAATGGGAGGAAAGTGATACAGTGCTATGTATGGTATATATACATAGTATTAAAAGTACATTGCCTTCAGAAAAAGTGATTTTATTCATTAAAAAAAAACTAAGGTTGTTGTTATTTGGGGCCACACTCAGCAGTGCTCAGGGCTAATTACTGGCAGAACTCTGGGAATCATATGGAGTGTCTGGGATGGACCTTGAATCTGTTGTGTGAAAGGCAAACACCTTATCAGATGTACTATTTCTCTGGCCCCCAAAATACACCCTAAGTTTTAGAAATACAATTCTAATAACCCGGGTCACTCATTCATAAAGCTGGTGGGTTTTGTGAATTTATGCAGCCACACAGGACTCTGTACTTAGAAGGTCCCATGCTGGGTTAAACGTTTGCTGTTGCTGAACTGAAATTTGAATGAGAAGTGCTATAGTTTCCATTTGCATTGGGCCCTGCAAATTATCCTGCTGGTCCTTATAGCACCTCCTGGTGAATAAAGTAAATATTTGCCTATGTCAATGCTAAAAATAAGAATAAACTTAAAACTCCTTGATTTATTTTAGTAACTGATGGCAGTTGTGTCTTTCCAACATTTGGAGACTTTTTTTAAAAAATTAGAATAACTCAACATTTTCAGAATTTTTAAAATATTAACTCACATGTCAAAGCATAGTTTCAGCTTTATTTTCCCCAGAATATTGATTTCCTAGGAAACCACTCTAAGAGAAGAAAATGATTAACCAAGCCACACCCACATCCCACCATATAAGCTCATCCACCAGCCCTGCTCCAGAGAATCTTGAAAGATATCAGTTAGCTTCAAAAATGTCTCGGATAGAGCAGTCCTACCTTAGACCTGTGGAGCAATCTCGGAAGGGGGGCAGGTAAGTCCCTACCCTGCCAAAGACCCTGCAGCCACACTCACAACAGCTGCCAGGTGTCCAAAAATACTCTACCGCCTCATGACTGAGCTCCACAGGGATGCTAACCTGCTGACAATTTCAGGTATACTGGGTATTGGGGGCCTGAACCCCTGGGCCTTCTCAGATTTGGGGTGGAAGATCTCCCACCCAGCTCTGTACTTCAAAAAGTCCTGGCTTCTAGCACAAATGGTACGTGCAATGCTCTCAGTTTGGGTTCAATCCCAAGTACCAACTGATGTAAGCCCAAGCATCACCAAGCCTGGAGTACCTCTGGAAATAGTAGTCCCACAACAACAATAAAAAAGCTAAAAATTAAATGTGTTAAAGGAAAGAACTATCTTTCCAGAAATGAGTGTCCATAGGCACTTTTTAGGGGGAATGGGAGATAGAGTGAAGATTGAAATCTGGCTTCATACATGCACTGCAAAAAATTCTGCCACAAATCTACATATCTGAATCCAAGAATTTTAAAACTGTTTTCTTTTCTCCTTAACACTCCATCTCAGCGTTATAATGAATACCACCAAGTTCCTTATGCTGTTTAAAACTGAATAAAGAAATTATAATAGAAATTATAATAACATCAGAACATATTTTAGTAAGAACATACTTCAAAACATGACAAAATTAATGTATTTATACATTTATAAAACAAAAATTAATGCATTTATACATTATATAAAAAACTAAGAGTTCAAAAGATAAATAAAGAAAAGGCAGATATAACAAAAATAGCTTCCAGGAGTAATGGGGGTATTTCTATAAGAAAGAATTAGGTGGCCAATGAAAGTGTAATGAATCAATGATCTATTTTCAAGGGAAAAATTAACAGAAAATGCTAAGCAAACGTTTTAACTCTTAAACTTTTAATTCATAGATTAAAATATAATAATAATATAGGTTAAATATATAATAATATAGGTTCTTTCAATAATACATAATAATATAGGTTCTTTCAAACATTTTTCTTTTATTTTTAAGTGAGTAATAGCATTGAGTCACAAATCATTGATAACACTCCTTACAATTTTTGAAATATTTAAAATATAAATAGTTTTATTAAAAAGATCAATAAAATGTAAATGAAAATAAGAAAATATATAATAAGGTTTGTTTTTCAATTATTAGGTATTATAAACATGAATAGATTTCTAAGACATGTTTTCATTATTTAGAGTTGCATCATTTGATGAAAAGCTAAGATTAATACTTAGTAGATTATCATGGTCACTGTCCTCCCGTTGTTCATCGATTTGCTCGAGTGGGCCCAGTAACGTCTCCACTGTGACAATTGTTACTGTGTTTGGCATTTCGAATACTTCACGGGTAGCTTGCCAGGCTCTGCCGTGTGGGTGAGATACTCTCAGTAGCTTGCCGGGCTTGCCAAGAGGGGTGGAGGAATCGACTTAATAGATTAATTCATTAGAAATTTGACAAACTTTGCCATGTTAAAACTAGATAACTGAGGCTGACGCAATTGTGCACGCGGTAGGGCACTTGCCTTGCACATGGCAGACGGGTTTCAATTCCAGTCCCCCAAATTCTCCAGGAGTAATTCCTAAGCACAGAGTAAGCTCTAAGCACAGCCCCCAAACAAAACAAATTTTGATAACTTTTTCCATTTAGAAAAAAGGTCTTTGACTGAAACTGTATGAAAATCCAAGTGTGAGTAAAACATGTAAAATTGGTCCTATCATTCACACCTATGAATTTTTGCAAGCGCACACACACACACACACATACACACCCTCAAATTTTGAAATCCAAATAGTATTTTTCATGAATTTCATTCTGAACCTCTTTATGTTTGCATAACACTGGTTAATTCAGGAGCTAGTGAAAGAGCGTGGCATTGTTGAGAACAGGTGCAGCATCAGATACTCATTGACTTGGATGGCATTCTTACAGTCTAATTGGAGGCTCTATGCCCACTACATAGCATTCCAGCAAAAGCAGATGTAAAGCAGACATTAAGATTGTCATTTTTTTACTTGTCTGCTGCAAGCCACACTGGAATGTACTCATATAACAAATGTGTCTTCCAGAACTTCTGTTTATATTGCCTACATCACCATTTCTGGCGAGGAAATGAGAGGAAAACATCAAGAAAAAACAATGTTTCCCTCAGTAGTCAGTTAGCAATTGCCAGTCAATCTTTCCCAGAGTCCAAAGCATATTGACATTGGCACAAAAGGTTCATCTGTCTCTTTTGATGACCCAACTTTTTAGCAGAACAGGGTTGACTACTCCAGCATGTATGCCATTCAATATTTGCTAGAACACAGACTTGTGGAAACAGTCATTTCACTCCAGTATAAAATGTTTCACTAAAAATGTCCAAAGAATAGCAAAAAGTAAGTACTTTTATGTAAATATATAGATACACACATCTCCGTGTATGCACATACATATATCTGTATATGCACTAACATATGTATCTCTCTGTGTATACAGAGATATATACACACATATAGTTGGTACAAAAAGAAGTTCTGATAAAATTATGAAGGGAAATGTAGGGATACAGGATATTTTGAGTTTCCAAGATGTTCTACACAATCTTAAACTAACACCTGATTGGGGTCAGAACAATAGTACTGTGGAGAGGGCATTTGCCTTGCATGTGGCCAACCTGGGTTCAATTCTGGCATCCCATATGCTACCCCAAGCACCACCAGGAGCAATTCCTGAGAATTGCAGAATTCCTGCAGAGCCAGGAGTAACCCCTGAGTATCACAGGGTGTGGCCCAAAAGGAAAGAAAAAATACCTGATTTTTTAAAGGAAGGCTGAAAATATTTCCCACTATAGTTTATCTGATCTTCCTCTTCCACATAGTTCTCAATGAAAATAAAGTATTTATTAGAAGAATAAATGCTCCAGGTGCAGGTTTTAAGAACACACACAAGAGAAAGGAAAAGTCTCTTGAGTACAAATCAGCAGCCACAGACCATCTTTGTTACAGTTTGATAAATAATACCATATTAGTCATTATATATATTTTTAAATAGGGGCCGTTCCTGGTGCTGCTGCTCAAGGACCATCAGGGATTCACTCACAGTGCTCAGGGGTATAAGCAGTACTGAGCATCCCACTTAGACACTCACATATGCTAGTCATGCACTCTACTGCAGCAGACAGCATTTGGTTCCTCTGAGTGCAGTTCACTGGGGTGGCCCTAGCAAAGGTCGGGGGACCATGTGGTACTTGGGATCAAACTCAGGTTACCACATGGAGTAAAGAATGTGCCCCACCCCTTCAAACTATCTCTGTTGCCTGCAGATTTCATTTTTTAAGCTCAATTCTACAGTGGTAATTTATAATATTTTCCTTTTGGTATACAAATGAAATAGCTACAACTTCTTTCTTACTAATTACTAATACATTCTTAATATTTTTTTCATTCACATCTTGAATTTCAAATCCTTTTCTGAAATAATGAAGAAAAGGAAAAACATTTGAAAGTATGGTAATCAAAAAGCTAAAAAGTCTTTAATGCATTTTAAAATTATTTCTAAACTTTCTGAAAAGCTATAATAGATTTCTGAATAATTTATGATTTATGAAAAGGCCCCAAATTTACTGGCACTTCTCATAAGCCACATGATCATGGGAAAGTGGTTTCATGCATATGAACCTCAACTCTCTCATCTGCAAAATAGATTAATAACAATATAAATTTCACAGTCTTCTTTTAATATTAATAGCTATCATCCCTACTTAGGACTTAATATGTGGTAAATATTTTAGGAAAAAAACAATTGTGTATAGACACAGAACTGATAGAAACACACAAATGTTAAAAAGAAAATAAAAACCTATAAGCCTTTTGTAATTTTCCACTAGGACACTTGCATTTTTTAAGTTTACTTTTATATTCTAAATTTTATTTTACTCTATTGTTTAGGGGCTACAACTCAGCAGGGTTCAGGGCTCTTTCTGGCTCCATGCTCAGGGACCACTCCTAGCAGAGTGTGGGGGACCATCCCAGATGCAGAGATTGAACCTGTATCAGCCACATCTCAAGGCAAGTGCCTTAGCTCCTGTACTATCTCTTCAGTTCCTATATTAGCATTTTAATAAAATTTGTCCAGCAGATTTGAAGGTGAAGAGTTTAAAAGGTTGCATCTGTTTGCTATACTAATAAATGAGAAAATTCAAGAGAACAGGTCCAACATACCATCTTTTCCTTTGTATTTGTTTTCATTTGTTCTGTCTGACTGCAATTCAGTGCCATCTGGAGCCTAAAGATAGAAAACAAGTCATTTAGTCATCTCTAGCACACAACCATAGACAGTTTTGTAAATAATTCCAGTACTAACCTTTAGAGCACAAGAAATGCACTCGGAATTATAACAATCAGAAAAACATACTATAGTTGTAATCATCAAAATATATATGGATATGTATAAAAAGCCTTAAGTGCTCCTGCCATCAAGAATGCTGCTATTTAACTGAAGGAATAAAGAAAAACATCAAAAAGCTGGTCACATAGCCCAAAGAGTAGAAAAATAAAGTGTTTTATTCATATATAGAATACTCATACCAATAAAAAGAAATGATGTATTGATACATGCCACAAAATGAATGAACCCTTTAGACATTTTACTGTGGAACAGGAATCAGTCAAAAGGCCGCACATTATGTGAGACTATTTATATGAAATGTCCAGGAAAATCAGAGACAAACAAGTAGACTGATGATTGAGAGGGAAACCTGAGGAATGACTTGTATAATGGGTACAGGTTTTCTTTGGGGGGTGATGAAAATGTGCTAAAACTGATTGTGGCGATGATTACGAAACTGTGAATCTACTAAAAACCACTGAAGTGCAAACTCCAATGAGTGAATTAAATGGTAAGTGGATTACTAAGCCATGCTGTTACCAAAGAAAAGAAGGTTAACATGTAGACAATAACATAGAACAACAACTAATAATGAATGTGAAATGAATTAAAACTAAATTTCCAGTTAACAAGAGCTTGGATAAGAAAAAAGCTTTCCTCCCAAGGGGGTAGGGCAGTAACATGAAGAAACAGTTTATGGACACGGTAAAGCATGACTAGCATGCTCAGCAGTGAGTGTGGCAGGAAGCAATTCCTTCTCCAAAGTACTGCAGAAGGAATTCAGGGAGCAGGAAAAGGAGTCCAGATTGAGCATCTACAGAAATCTATTTTACTAAACTATTTTTTTTTTTTGCTTTTTGGGTCACACCCAGAGATGCACAGGGGTTAAACCTGGCTTTGCACTCAGGAATTACTCCTGGCAATGCTCAGGGGACCATATGGGATGCTGAGAATAGAACCAGGGTCGGCCTTGTACAAGGCAAATGCCAGACCTGCTGTATCATCACTCCAGCCCCAAGTAAACTATTCTTAAACGAATGGCTTTATGGGATGTCATCTTTATGCAAAAGAAAGAAGACTCTGGTGTACCATCAACTACCTGGCCAGCAAGGACTTCCTTCTCTATCCAAAATTTAAGAAAAGTCTAGAAAAACCCTACTGGATGTGCATTGAGCCCATTTAACCTAAAAAGAGCAGGAGTCAAGGGAATACTTCACTCCCCGGCAGACACAGCAACACCATCCTTTTAATCTCTGCCGCAAACCTACAGAAGGCTTGTCCCCCATGGCAAAATGAACACAGTGAGTGAGTCTAATCTTACATGGAAACACATTTGGAGCATGTGCTTCAACTATTTACCTTGGCAATTGAAAATGACAGTGCAGATGGTATTAATTTCTGTATTATACTTCCTTGTGTCAGCAAGGGCTTCATGAAGAAGCCTTTAAAATGGGAACGCTGCATATCTACTTATTTGAAAACAGAACAGCTTCAAATTAGGATGGCTGGCTCATATTTGCTTGAGACATGGGTATATAACTATATCTATATACTTTTTTAATGGTACATTTTCCCCCAAATATTAGATACCCTGGTTTACAAAACTGCTGATGGTAGGATTTCATGCATAACACAAGGCAGCAACACTCTTCACTTCCAGCCATGCTGTCCCAGTGCATCCCTGTGCCAACCTTCCTCCAGAGACAAGTTTTCCATTTCTATTGTCTTTGGGCATTCACTATTCCTCTACTAAATTATTTTATTTCCCACATATGAAAGAGATCATTCAGCTTGCCCCCCCCCCCCCGCCCACTCTGACTAACTTCACTTAGCATAATACTCTCCAGATCCACCCAAGTTGCAACAAATTGCATGATTTCATATTTTTACACAGTGGAATTGCATTCCATTGTGCATATGCACCATGGTTTCTTTAGCCAGTCATCTGTTCTTGGACACTTGGGTTGTTCCCAGGATTCGGCTATTATGAATGGTATTGCAATAAATATAAGCATTATATAAAGGCATTGGGTAGAATATACTTCTAATGTGTGATAGTATTTTAATTAAATGTAAACAGCATAATTAAGTCAATTTATCACTTTATTTTATTAGGTTTAAGGGACATACCTAGAGGGCCTTGGGGCAACTGTTGGCACCCTGCACAAAAGTGACCCCTGGCAATGCTTGGAGGGGAGGGGCTTATGTGAATAGAGGAAATGAATCATGTTTCAACTACATGTAAGAAATGCCTTAGCCTCTGTACTATCTCTCTGGCTACACATTTTAATTTACTTGCAATATTTTCCTCTTAATGACTCCATCAGATGATCCAATTCACCAGTTACCTAGGATACAAACCATGTGGTTTAAACATTACCAGAAATTTGCTGAAAAATGCTATTTCTACAACCACGTAGTAAGATCCTTTTGGAGGCTGGCAGTAATTCCTCGGTGAATATTTTGCTGAGCTCTGTGCTGCTCCCTCCTCCCTCTTACTTCCTCTTAACTCCCTTAGGAAGGGTTTCTTAATTGGGAAGGAAATGTCATAGTACTATATTTCCTTACCACTGATTTTTGTGCAGCTGGAAACCTAGCCCAGTTATTCAACTCCAGTGCAAATAACCACGGAGTGGTTAGTAAACCTTTAATTTGTCCAGAGGAATTCATAATCCCGAAAACTGACAGAATTTTACCCGCAATTGACCATGCAAAAAGAATGAAAATTTGCAACTATGTGGGGTTTCTAGGGGAGATGTCAGATCCACAAAAATCAAATGATAAACATTACCTGAACTAAAAATTCTCATTCCTTCTTTTCTTTTAAGGAATCTTAAGAAACCATTATTAGTGTATCTTTGTGGCATAATAGAATCTTCAGTTTACGTTACTTAACATCAAAATCACATGTAGAAATCCAAATATAGCAGAACACAGAGTGGTTAAAAGCATAAACTTGGATCAAATTTGGGTTTATTATCATAGGACAGACAGCAAGTTACCAAAGTCTGTAAGCCTTGATCTAGAATGGAAGTGATAACATTTCACTTATAGGAGAGTTTTGAGGATTAAACAGGAAGAAGCAAAGAAACTAGTTAGCACTAGTGCTAGATAACGATGAAAGGAATGGTTAATGTGGTAACAATCCTAATCACTGTAAGCATAGTTCAAGATTCTTTCATTTGTTCTCTGGGTCTACTAGGCTAATGCTAGTTGTTAGTCAATGACAGATCAGACTGCAAATCAACTTTGAGCCAAGAACACTTTTATTTATTATTATTATTATTATTATTACTATTACTATTTTAGTAGCAAGATTATCTTGACAAACAGAGGAATTAATATTTTGTGCAAGATCTTATGACTTCATGGGCAGTCAAGAGCCCAGCTATTTTGAGTAGCACTTTTCTGAGATCATAGTGTTTATTGCTTTATGCCAATCCTTCCTTGATGCCCATTCACCAGGCCCACAATCACTAGCAAAATTCCAACAGTTCCCACTAATGCATTAATCATCTTGACAAATATTTGCTCAAATCTAGGCACCATGCTATGCACAAAGCACAGTAGGAAAATTATTTCAGGTTCATGGCTGCTTCTCTGTAATTCAGTTGTAATTCGCTCCCTTATATTCTACATCCACAAATCCCCCAATGAATTTATGGCAAAGCAACTATAAGAGTTCATAGCTAAGGAGAAAACCCCTCCCCTCTACTTTTCTATATTTAAAAAAGGACATCGTATCATCTGGAAGGTCAAAGTCATTTCTAATGTGCGAAGGACACGTAATGCAAGAATTATCATACTAAACCTTTAATTTTCTGCCCCATCAGTAGAACTTCTCAAGATAAGTATCAAGTCCTACTTGACCTTGGCCAGCATGGGGCTCTAATACCCGACATATAGTAAGCGCTCATTAAGGTTTTTAATGATCTGAATTAAACTGACTGAGTCCAGTTAAATCTAGCCAATTATTCCTTTACTTAAACATGAAGAAAATTTTAAAAACACTTACTTTTTCTGTTGACTCTCGCTGTTGAGCAAATATGTCTCTGACATCAGGAATCTGGTGCTGCTTGTTTTTTTTCCTCAAGGTCTGGGAGACTGTTTCTACTCGTTTCTGCACAGCGGCTGCCTGGGTCCGAGTCAATGTGGCTAAAAACACCATACTATCTTGGGAGTCTCCAGCTGACTCGCCGAAGAGATTGTACAAACCTGCCTCCTTGAGCCACTCTTCTTCCAGTTCTCCCTCTAAGACAGTCAGGAAAAATAGCATGTAAGTCACAAACTTTGAGAACTTCCACACTTGTTTTAGCTGTTTAAAAATCCTTACTCTTGTATCGCAACCAAACCACAGTGCGTAGAGTCATTATCAGAAACTTGGACAGCTGCCATAAACTCCAGCCACAAAGATATCAAATTTTAGATCCATTTCATATATACTCAATTAAAAACTTTAAATGACTTCACATGTAATTAACCTCTGTAACTTCCCTGCAGATTAACTAGGGAAAGATAATACTGTTCCCTTTTCAGAGATGAGCAAGCAATGAAAAGATAACTTACTTCCATCAAGTTACAGAAGGAAGTCAATTTTGGAGCTAGTCATTCAAGTCCTGTCTCTTGGCATGAATTCAGTGCTACCCCAGCATGCAACACTAACTGAGGGAAGCCTGGTTTCCTCTGTTCACTGAAGCTGACATGGAAGGTGGCATAGAAGTAAAGAACATCTGGATATCAGGAACCGATCAAGTTCGAATTAATTTTTTATTCCCCCTAGTCAGCACATCAATTTCATTTTCCCCTACAAATTAAAACAATGTTCCTCCAAAAAAGTTTATTAGAAACTTAAAGGATCGTATTAATAAAAACTCTAAAAGCAGTAAACAGTAAAGCAAATAGGGCATAAAATCCAAAGAAAAATACAAGGGGGAAGAGAAACAGAATAAAAGTAAACTAGGATAACTTTATTTCAAGCACTAACTTTAAAGATGAAAAGCACTAACTTTAAAGATGAAAACGAGAGACATTTGACTTGTGATGCAAAAGATCTGTGTTCATATGCCCTTTCTGCGCCTGGGAAAGCCAAGTCACTTCGGACAAGTCACTTGTCTCAAGCCAATTCTTTGTTCATCTGTACTAAAGCACAGCTGTTATCCTGGCATCATCATGACTAAATGAGAATGTTACATGGGAAGAGAACACTGCAGAGCACAATTATAGCTTAAATCATTTGATGGATGACTGATGGTCTCACTTATCTATGCTTCTGCACTGCATAAACTCCTAAACTGTAGAAATCAAGACTTCATAACCTTGGCTTCAAGAAACATAATGTAATTCTGGCATTCTTCATGCCAGACAACAAAACCTGTTTACAGATATGGTCAATCATTATTACTCAAGCTGCTGAGGCTCAGAGGAGGTGTGTAAAACCAAATTGCCAGAATAAAAGTTGATCATTGGTACAATAAGGAAAGTAAACAAGATTATAACAGAGAATCACTTTTCTCCATTTAAAAGGTGAAACAAAACAATTTACAGTCAAAGAAAAGAAAGGGTTATGTAAAAGCATCCCCAATTCTTCTTAATAGTCACATTATGAACACTAATTTGTGCATTCATTCCCATCTTGGGGAATTATAAAATCATTGAAATATGTACTTATGTGTGAGACTTAAATGTTTATAGGCTGTTTTCTCCTTATTCAGCAGACTATAGGTATACTGCTTATATCCTAAGACACTAAGATAAAACAAGTTAGAAGGCACTGCAATGATCACAAATAAGTTTGGCTGAAGAAGTAATGTTTCAGAAAGAATAAGAGTAAAGTAGAAGAGAAGCCAAACCAAAACAAATAAGTTTTTTATTACGAAACAAGCCAAAGGTCTATATTTAAGGTGTTGTTGGTAATTTCAAACAACAGAGCTAAAGAAAAATATTATTTGCATAGATTTGACTGCTTTAAAAACTCAGACCTGGACTGGAGAGGTATCATGTGGATTTAGGCACTTGGGACAACTCTGCCTCTATCCCAGTACCACACTGTACTGCACAATGCACTGCAGCATTGTCCTCCCATTGTTCATTGATTTGCTCGAGTGGGCACCAGTAATGTCTCCATTGTGAGACTTGTTACTGTTTTTGGCATGTCAAATATGCCACGGGGAGCTTGCCAGGCTCTGCCGTGAGAGTGGGATGATCTAGGTAGCTTGCCGGGCTCTTCGAGAGGGATGGAGGAATCGAACCAATGTTGGCTGTGTGCGGCTGCATGCAAGGCAAACGCCCTACCTGCTGTGCCATCTCTCCTACAACTACATACAGTAAGTCCCCCAAACCCGGCCAGGAGTAAGCCCTAAACATATCCAGGTAAAACAACTTTATCTTAAATCTTTTAGTTAATAATTCTTGAGAATATGAACATTATTTGAAGAATTGCAGACCAGTGACTATACATCTCAGTTTTGGGCCTTTATAGCATCTTTATACATGAAAGATATATTTAAATATTTATGGATGATACAGGCATAGGAAGATAACTAACATAGTAGATACCAGAACTGGGCAGCAAAATTTTGGTGTTTGAGTTTAAAAGATTTGAAAAAAACATGAAGTTCTAAAGGGGAAAACTAAAATTGTGCATATTTCTCCAAGAATATCAAGTATAGTTAGTAGTGGGTACTATATTTGCTAGACAAAATAGAGGGAGAAAGTTGCTGAAATGCAGATAGGAAAAATAGCTGTTCAGAAACTTGAGAGAAATTATGGTACACATATAAGAAAGAAGTAAATACAGAAGTAAAAATGCTAATGCCACTTTTTACTGTTTAAATCTACTCTTAAATAAGCTGGCTATACATGTGGCATTCTATTCAATCGAGCACTATACTTTGAAAAATGAATGACCTGAATTAGGATAGATTCGAAAGCAATCCATGAGGACTGGTTCAGTAAATCTTGTTTTTCTTCTAGAAAAAAAAACTTCATTAGGAATCAGATAAGTACACACAACTATTCGAAGGGTTGTTGTTAAAAACAGAATAGGGGCCAGAGAGATAGAACATGGGTTAAGAAACTTGCATTGCACCTGGCCAACCTCAGATCAATCGCTGGCACCTCATGTGGACCCTTCAAGCACAGCCAGGTGTGATCCCTGAACACTGCCAGGTGTAGCCTATAACCTACCTACCCCAATAAGAAAATATAGAATAGACGTATCTTTCCAAAGGGCAGAACTATCGCAGAAAATCAAAGGTCACAGAATACCACACTGTCCACCAATAAAGCAGATCAAGTTAGACTGACCAATAGAAAAATAGCATCATTGCAAAACAGTGAACTTTCTATCCTCATCTATAGCAGTAAAGGTAAAGGCCCTCCCGTTGATCGTCAATTTGCTCGAGCGGGCCCAGTAACGTCTCCATTGGAGACTTTGTTGTTACTGTGTCTGGCATATCGAGTACTCTCGGTAGCTTGCCGGGCTCTCCGAGAGGGGCAGAGGAATCGAACTCAGGTAGGCCATGTTGGCGCTTGTAAGGCGAACGCCCTACCCGCTGTGCTATCGCTCCAGCAGTAGAGACCAAATAACCATGTTGCTAGGATTCCACAAAAGGAATTTAAAGAGATGTTAAATGATTTTGAAAATCAAGTTTAACCATAAGAGCCTAAACTAGCTTAGCCAACAAGATTTTAGCCATACAGCAAGACTAAGTAAACTTAATCACACCGCTTAAATTTGGCAGCTGCATTCATCAATCTGCACAAACAAGCAAATTTCAAACTGAAAGGCTCCTAAACCTTTTTTTTTTTGGCTGCCCTATCTTAATCCCTATACAGTAACTTTGTATGATAATGCCATAATTTTAAAACTATACTATAGCTATTGTTATATAAACTGTAGTAATAAACATAACTATTTCTTTAGCTCCATTTATTAAAGTTTCATTTAGTTAGTTATTACCATCAGGCTCCTTGACAACCACCTCTTCTTGATTTTGTCTGTTCTCATTAGATTGTTTGATATTTTCTACTTCAGTCCAATAGTCCTCCATGTACATGTCATTCAAGAAATCCTGGGATGCAGATTGATTAAATGGAGTTCTTCCTGTAATTTTGGTGAGTTCCTGGTTCACAGAATACTGGCCATATCTGCAACTAAAAATTCAAAAGAAAATATTGCTTATTTTAATACATGATTTAAGTAGTATAATTTCTGGAATTTGACACTGAGCTGGACAGTTTGGAAATCTCAAATACCAAAGCAACATAAAATTATATCTGCTTATATATAACATATAGTAATATATTATATAATGAATGTTATATAAGTATATAATATGAATTATCTTTATCAAAAATTATGGTGAAGAAAATTATCTAGTCAATAAATTTTTATTTTACTTGAATTGTTTTGATTCCCATAAATTTGAAACTTCTTAGAAAACAAAAGATTAAATCTCAATTACATGCTATAAACTAATTCAACTGGGATTGAGTTTTATGTAAAAGCTTGTATTTATCACGTATTTTATAAACCAAATTCAGTCAATGCTTCTGTGAAAATCTTCAATAAATATTGAATAATTAAACATATGCAATACATATGTTACTGTTTGAATTTTCATTTCATTTTTGAAACAAAAACATAAATAGAAAGATAACATACTAAATTCACTCTTACACTCTATTATTGACAGTCACTTAAAATTGCTACCTATAATGTACTTATAACTTGTATGCATTTTTTTTTTTTTTGCTTTTTGGATCACAAACGGCGGTGCACAGGGGTTATTCCTGGCTCTACACTCAGGAGTTACTCCTGGTGGTTCTCAGGGGACCATATGGAATGCTGGGAATCAAACCCTGGTCAGCCACGTGCAAGGCAAATGCCCTACCCGATGTACTATTTCTCCAGCCCCTTGTATGCATTTTTAAATAATAAGGACGTATTTGTTGGCAATTCTAAATACTCTAGATTACCTATTGGATATTCATATAAATATTTAGAAAGAAAAGGCTAAATTGACTAAAGGTATCTTATGACATCAATTGTAGTTTTACTTTATAACTCACATCACACCTACTACAGAAATAGAACTAAAGGAGTTCATAAGAACCTATATTTAATTTTTTAAAATCATTGTTTATATTGATATAGAGGGGAAACATCTAATTATTCAAGAGGAAAAGGTTTATAGTTATGGTGCTTCCCCTCTAGTTACAACTTTTTACAAAATACAAAAAAATAAAATGAAATTCTTAAGTATCTGTGAACAATTTCACACTTAATCTGGCTTTACTATAATTACTTAAAATAGTATTAATACTTATAAAGGTGACAGTACTAATGCAATTGAAATTTAATTCCAACTTGAATCTTAGAAAAAGTTGAAGAACTATTGAATGCTGCTATAAATAAATATAATAGAACTATTTACATATAATAAGCTATTAGGCTAGTTCTATTCCTTGACAGTTGGTTCTTTCTGTCTTCACTGCATTTTTTTACATGAAAGTCAGTTACACAGAGCAACGATGTCTCTCCCCCCGCCACCACCAATTACCTAGTAGTTTTGGGTATTAAGACTCCAGACAACAAGCAGAAGTCTAGACATGCTACTGTGAAACATTTTCCCCAAGACTCCATTGTCCACTATTTCCCTTTCTCACCTCTGAAATCAAGGGAGACATCGTCCTATCCTAACCCAACTGTCCTTTTTCTATCTATGTATCTATCCTGGATTTTCTTTCATCTTAGTGCCCCCTATATACTTTCCTTGAGCACTTCCATTCTGGAGTCTTAAAAATAAAAACTGGAATGGGAAATATACAGATATATACATTTTATTTATTCTGTGATCAGCAATTCAATGTATCTGTGGGCCATATTCCTTAGTTATGCTTTATCTAAGTAGTTAAAGGTTAAAAAGGGTGTTTCTCAAATTCATTTTACATTTATTTTATGCATATACAGATGGTCCGTCTTATTTTGCTTTATCCTTTATTATAATGTAAGACTGTCTGCCTCAGCAGCATATCCCACAACCCTTAATCCCATGGGAGACCACAGTAAACACTGTGGAATGAGTGAAATATAATAGCTAATGCCAAATAATTTAGCTTATCTACTTGTAGGAAAGAGGTGCAGTTGGACTAAAAGTACATTAAGTCTTTCACTCCTAAAGGAATGTGTTTATTCTGGCAAGATATGTCCAGTAAGTTTCCATTAAGATAGCATGGGCAGAAAAATGCAAAAGCATTGAGTCACAGCATTGTTACATAAATACGCCTTGTATATCAAATCCCACTTTCAAAATATGCATAAAGAAAAAACGTAATAGTGTATTGTTGATGAACTAACTCAATATCTTTAATACCATCTGAAAGCTGAATAGGTATATTGGGATAACCTTAAGACATGAGACACAGAAAAGAAGGCTTTTTCCCGAAGTAATTTTGTATTACTAGCATACATTACAAGACATTCTCCTTTTTAAACATTAGCAAATGGGTACTTAGAAGGAGGCAACCAAAAGCTATAGACTACTCTCCTAGACCAGACTGCCATATATATTTTCCATAAAAATGTAACAAACTTTTGCATTACAGTTTTCTCTGAATATACTTTTATTCCAGAAAATCCTGGCCTTTCTTAAAAGTATCCTCATAGGAGACCAATGAATTAATTTCCTCTCTTCTGTTTTAGGAGTATGTTATACAATGTCATGCCCATTCGGCAAATTGGGTTAAATTTAAAGGGGCATCTGCTAGATATAAAAATTGCAGCCATCCATATTTTATATTTCCAAAAGATCCAAGATGCACATGGTACTGAAATGATCAAAACACAGTATCTACCACATGCCATCATTGGGTTTATTAAGAAATGGCAAACAAAAATTAATAAATAAAAACTAAAAGTCTATTTTGGGCTCTTTATTCCAGTTTCTCCTCTTCAATAAGTGCTAATCATCATATAATCGCTATTCACAAAAACAAAAAAGCACATTTCTCCATTTCTCATGAAGTACAACACCAACAGAGCTCGACATGGTTCTCCTAAAATAAGTTATTTCTACTTACCTTCAGAAAGAATTTCCCTCCTGGACATTGCAATGTTTTCACTTAGTTTTATTTTCATGGTCATTACCAGTACCAGCAAACACTTTACAGACCCTTCTGAGCCTTCATGAAACATTCTTTCATTTCCCTGTCTATTTATGCTCACACTCTATGTTGATAGAAGTTGGTCTTTGCTTCTTTACACATTCATGCATACTTAAAAAAATGATACGTTCTGAGGGTGATTCAATTATTTGCGAACATCACTGAGTAATCACATCAATGGTTTTCACATAATTACTCGATGGTTTGGAGCACCACACACCTAAACTCTCCACGAGACCCTACCCTGACCATGTTTGAAGTGCCACGAAGCAACTCATGACTGTATTTTCCCTAAATATATTTTATATTTTTATATCTTATATCCCGTTTTACAGCCCTGCAAGCTACCAAGAGTATCCTGCCTGCATGGCAAAGCCTGGCAAGCTACCCGTGATGGGGAATCGCATGCCAAAAAAAGTAATAACAATTCTCACAATGGAGACATTACTGGTGCCCACTCGAGCAAATCGATGAACAACGAGAGGACAGTGAAACAGTGCTACAATTTTTAAAAACCTGTTAGTGAATTTTAATTTTAGTGACAGCTAGGATATTAGACACCCCTATGGTTTACTTTGTAACAGAGACTTTTACACTGGTCTGACATGATTTGTTCTTGATGGATCAAATGTATCTACATAACATTGTGGTGATCAAGAAGCCAGCAAGCTGAAAGTGACTCCTGCTCACCCCAATGAGACTTGCAAAATGATACGGACACATTTATGACTGAGTCAAAAGTACCCAATGTTTACACATCTACTGAACATTTTCTGTGGTTTTGGAAAATCACTTCTCTTTCCTAACCCCTTCTCTCTATAAAATGGAAAGAATCCCAATAGCCGTGACTGCTCTTGTGGTCAGGTATCAAATAAGAAATCCCACGATAGCATCCCATAGGGAATCAGGAAGATGAAACTCAAGTTTGTACCAACACTAACATATACATTATTGCCAACTACTCTGAACTGCTCCTCCCATAGTTTAATAATAGCATTTTCTTTTTTAAATTGCCAGGTAATTTTTTTATCTTCTAAGACATAAAAGATATGTGCATTGAGAATGGCACATGTCAAAAACAGTGGGAACAATCTGTGTTGGTGGGGATGTGGTGAAAAGGGGACTCTCATTTGCTGCGGGTGGAAATGTTGTCTGGTTCAATGCTTGTGAAAAACAGTATGAACAATTCTCAACAAGCGTAGAATTCAGCTGTCACATGATCCAGCAACAGCAATTCCATTTGTGGGCATCTACCCCCATGACAAAAAACATTCATTCAAATAGACATAGGCATTCACTGCTGTGCTCAGTACAACTGCTAAGATATGGAATCAACTCAGTATCCAACAAGAGATTATTGGGTTATGAAGATATGGCATATATGCATGATATAGTACTATGCCACTGCGAGGAACAAGGAAATCATGCAATTTTCTACAACCTGGTTGCAACTGGAAGATATTATGTTAAGTGGAAGTGAGTCAGAAGAAGAAGGACAAACACAGTATGATCTCACTTATCTGTGGCTTATGAAATAACTGGATGAGGAAATGTAATATAGAATAGGAGGAAAAGTCTAGATCGCCCTTGACCTCAGGTATAATGAGGACAAGGACAGAGAAAGAAATTAATCGAGGGGGGAAGAAAGAAGGTGAAATATGGACATAATGGGGGACAGGGGCCAGGATCCTCAGGTATACTGGTGATATGAAGGGAGTGGAATAACTATACATTCAAAGCACAGACTCAACAACACTGAAAATATGAGGTATAAATTACAACAAGTGAACTTTGAAATCTGTCTGTCAAGGTGGTAGGCGGGGTAGGGAGGAGTATGAGAACACTGGTAGAAGGAAGTTGACATTGGTGTTGGGATTGGTGTTGGAATATTGTATGCCTTAGACTCAACTCTCAGTAATTTTATAAATCACAGTTCTCAAATAAATAAATCAGTAGCTTTTAGTGACAGATCTGTTCAATACACTTAA